CGGGGAAGGGGGCACCCCCTCCTGCCCAGAGCCGGCCGGGGAGGGGGGGCGAGCGGCCCCGGGGAGCCCCGCCAGCAGCCGGCCCCCGGTTCTCCCTGCTGGCCTGCCGCCTGCGCCGCCAGCCGGGCTTCCCCTCCGCCCCGAAACTCCGCACCGGTGAGGATTGGCTGCTCCGGAAGATTTTCTTGGCACGCGTTACTTTTCCCCTCTTCTTTGGGGGAACAGTTTGTTTTGTTGTTTGTTTCTTTGGGGATTTTTTTCGTGTTTTTTTTTTTTTTTTTTTTTTGAACATCCCCACACTTCCCTTCCGTGGCCTGGATATTCCGGGTGACTGCAAGAAGAGTTTTGGAATTTTTGTTTTGGTGTTTTTTTTTTTTTTTTTTTTTGAACATCCCCACACTTCCCTTCCGTGGCCTGGATATTCCGGGTGACTGCAAGAAGAGTTTTGGAATTTTTGTTTTGGTGTTTTTTTTTTTTTTTTTTTTTGAACATCCCCACACTTCCCTTCCGTGGCCTGGATATTCCGGGTGACTGCAAGAAGAGTTTTGGAATTTTTGTTTTGGTGTTTTTTTTTTTTTTTTTTTTTGAACATCCCCACACTTCCCTTCCGTGGCCTGGATATTCCGGGTGACTGCAAGAAGAGTTTTGGAATTTTTGTTTTGGTGTTTTTTTTTTTTTTTTTTTTTGAACATCCCCACACTTCCCTTCCGTGGCCTGGATATTCCGGGTGACTGCAAGAAGAGTTTTGGAATTTTTGTTTTGGTGTTTTTTTTTTTTTTTTTTTTTGAACATCCCCACACTTCCCTTCCGTGGTCTGGATATTCCGGGTGACTGCAAGAAGAGTTTTGGAATTTTTGTTTTGGTGTTTTTTTTTTTTTCTTTTTCCTGCCCTTGAACTGAATTTGCCCTCCGTGCATGCCCCTTCTGGAGCAAGGCTGGATCCTGAACCTCAGTGCATGTGGGGGGCAAAGCCTCGTTAATATTCCTGCAGTAATAGTAAAATGTAAATTGGATAATACGACTTCTTGCCAAAGGCTCCAATGAGTGGCACACAGTCCACAATCACGGACAGGTCAGTATAAAATAAAATTTCCTCCTTTTTTTTTTTTTTTTCCTTAAAGTGTAGGCTCTTCCCAGAGCTCGTCACTTTCCATCTGTGACAGTGTGTCAGACGGGCTCAGAAAAGCAGGATTAAAGCTGAGTTCCTGGGAATCAGTATGTACCTGGGGTGGCTGACTGTCAAGGCAACTGGGTTGACTTTGAAACTGGAGTATTTCAAGTCCAACGGCTTTCAAGCCTTCCAGGCTGACTTAGTAAGAGCCAGGGATTGTAATTCAACTTATAGGATGGGTTGGCGCTGGGAGGAACAGCAAAAGCAAGAGTTTCTGTGAGAAGTTAAAGTAGGAAAAGCGACAAATGTTTAGGATACAAGTCTGAACCTAAACTGTGTAGAGGATGCACTTGCTTCTTAGGTCAGGCATTGGAGCCTTCCAGAGAGGGGTCACCTCAGGTGAGGGCAGGAAGGGCTAGTTGCTGAGCAGGAATGTCTGCTGGTGTCTCCACTACCTTAGCAGTAATCTGGTCCTTGCTTTTAGATACCTGCTCAGGCCTCTGGGCTTCTCTGCAGGTGCTGCCATGTGCATTTCATTAGCAGTCTGGGATTCTCTTGCTGGTACTGGGATGCTTCCAAGGCAGGGGAAAAAATGTATTTTCTATTGTGAAGAAAAGAAAAAAAAAAAATCGAGTGGGAAACCTCTTGTGTTTTTGAGGCAGAAGTACAGAATGAGTGTCTTCAGGTTTTTTTGACAGGAGGAAAAGGTATCTTTTTTTGACACTTGTAAGCTGAAAAAGCTTCTCTTTATTGTGTATGTTATTATATTCTCCTTTATTGTGCGTCCTGGGGGGGTTAAGGAGTGGATGTGTGTGATGAAGGCCTTTCTGCTTAGGTTTTTAATGGCCAACAGGAGCAGTTCTGGGACAGAGGGATGATGCTTTTGGGTACCCGAGACCACCTTTTGGACTCCAGGTGTGGGCAGGGAAAGTTCTCGCTTCCACTTCGGCCTTGTCGTGACTCCACTGTCTTTTAACAGACAGTACAGTGCCTGAGCAGTGTGAAAGACAGCTAAGAATCACGGATAGTCTGTATTTATGACTGTTCATGGAGTAGTGAGTCTTTGAAATGCACCGTGTCCTGTGTTTGTAGTAGCAGAATAGGTGACAAAAGAAAACTCCTAAATTTTTTCTCTTTTGCGGTCCATGTGCATGAGATATTCTGGAGTTGCAGGACATTATTTCTTCTGTGCAAAACAAGACAGTGACAGGAAAAAGAAGGTGGCGTTTCAGTGGTTCTGTGTAAATTTTATCAGGTCCTTAAGAGTGTATGTCTTATGGCAGGTTGCAAGATATCAAGAAGAATGATGGTTTTCGTACTAAGAAGCAGCTGAGTGGTACACGGGAAGGAAAAGCACAAGGACAGGGAATTCAGTTGGCTTGTTAGTAAAACAAAATAGTTTCCATTATTGAATTGGAACAGCCAAATTGAAGTGTAGCAGAGACCAAAAAAAAGGTCTCATTTCCTTTTGCTTTCAGTCACGTTGAGAGGATGTTTCTGTTTTGTGTTCCATTAAGGGTTTGGTTCAAAAGACTTCTGATGTCAGGTAAGGAGCTGTCTCCACAAGCCTGGCAGCTGGAGTTGTGTGATGTTCTAGCAGTGGGGTTGTGTGATGGGTGGGGGAACGCGTGGAAGTGGGACCTGGCCTTGTCACTGCCCTTCTCTCTGGCCTGAAGGATCCCCAGCTCTGGGGGTGCCAAGGGAGTTCAGCCATCCTGGCCCATGGATTCCCTGGCTGAACCTTTCAGCAGAGCATTGGAGGTGGTGGTGTTGCCATGTTCTCATCATGTCCTTCTCACCTACAGCCCTGTGCAGCATCTGGAGAGGGGTGTCTCGCTCACTATTGTCCTACCAGTACGTTGGTGAAGAGCTTGCTTTCCCATTAGGCCCAAGCAGGATCTGTATTGCCTCTTTAAATCTGGCTCTCAAGCTTGGAATGTAAAGCAGGTGCAATATAAATAAACTCGATGTTTCTAGTGTCATTAGTTCTACATGGTATAAATCATAAGACATATTTAATTCTCTCTATTTATCAATGACCTTCCTTGGTGGGATCGAGTTGGGATCTGCCTTCAAACAGAAAAACCCAGCTTGTGTCTGTGCCAAACAGTATTAGGAGTATAATAGGATGGCATGGGCCTGCAGTTTTCTCCATGTTAGCTTTACATATTTGCATTTTACATATGGATAGCTGCTTAAGTCCCTGCTTACAGACAGCAAATATTTCCTTTTGTATCCCTTCAGTTTAAGGTGGCCATCATAGCATGTGTTTTGATAGCTGTGTGACATTTCCGTGTCACACTTGTCCCATCCATCACGTGTTTTATGTCTTTTTGCATTCTTGGTGAAGATGTCGCGTATAAAGTAAATTAGAAAGAATGTATGAATGGCCATTTCTGGTGCCTTTCTGTAGCCAGTACCATAAACGATGTTTTCACTAAGTTTTTCATCTTTTTTTTTTTTTTTTTTTTTTTTTTGTGGGTTTTTTTTTTTTTTCCAAAAAAAGTTAATTGGGTTTTATGTTTTGGGGTGGACACTCATCTGCCCTTCGTGGAGTTTCAAAGTGCTCTGGTGCCACGTGAATGCAATACTTCTTATTTTAAGCTCTATTACTTTAAAATGACTTTAAAATTGTCTGATTATTTGGCGGCCATTCAGCCAAGTAAATCAAACTTTAAAGCCCAGGCCTGCTGTCAACGTCCTCTTTGGCTTTATGGCCACCAAATTTTCACTTATTTTTTTATCTTTTTTTTTTTTTTTTTTTTTTTCTTGGAGTGTTTTCTTCTTTTTCCCAAGAAAGTTCAATGGGTTTTAGTGTCTGAGGCTATGCTGAAATACAGCCATACCAGTTCCCATCTCACGTGGACCAAACCTTAACCCAGTTAATTTTGGTAATACTTATGCTTCATCCCTGAGGTGAATTCTGTTACACAGCTGGCTCATGAAGCAACATCATCTTCTTGCATCTTTTTCCTCCAGTGTCTTAAAGACTGGAGGGAACTGAGTGCCTGGGGAAATAGGGGAATACCAGGTATTAAATAAAAAGACAGAACAGATGTTAAGACTTCCGAGAGTGTAGTGACTGTTCAGCAAAGTTACTGCAGAAGCATCTGACACGTGCTGTTCCCTCAGCATTTGGAGAAACGTGTGAAGGGTGCTGGCAGAAAAAAAGATTATCTTGTAGTGCTTGAGATTTAGAAATACAGAAGCAAAAAGCGGTCCAGGGTAGCCATGTGTGGCTTCTGATGGTATGAGAGAGGCAGAACTTTAAGCAGTGGTACTTAACTTCCCCTTCTCTCTTTCAGGATGCTCTTTTCCTTTGTCAGCTGCTTCTTTTCATTACCCTGTAGCCCAGTGGACCATATCAAACAATTCATCTTCAGCCTTATTACTCTGCCGCTTTATGTTTGTAAACATTTACACCCTCTTAATTTAATCCTCTCTCAGCTATGCTGTATTTGTTTAGAGGCCTCCTAAGGTGGCATTTATCTTGCTTAACTTAATAAGTCTTTGAAGTAGACATCTCTATCTAAGCTGTTCTAGATTGCCTTTATGGTAAGTGGAAGAAAATAGGCGCATCTAGAGGACCATTTCTCATCCTGAAGTAGGTATCTAAAATTGGTCAGGCGAATGACAAAATGCCTGCTTGTCTTCATCCAGCTCTGGATGTAGGTGAGATTTGTCATACCTTTTTGCCTCAAAATTTCTATTTTCCTTCTTCCTCCAAATTCCTGTTGGATGTTTGTTGCCGGATGCTGTTGGGGTTCGGGAAGGGGGATGTTGGACTCGGGGGCTGTGTAAGGCTGGTTTTGGGAGCTCACTGGGGGTGAGGTGGCTGGGTAGGGACGTTAGAGGAGATGTTTTCCTGTTAGTTTTGTGAGGCTGTGTGTGAGTGTGTGCCTTCTCTGGCTCAGAGCTCTGCTGGCCCAGCACTGGACAGCCCGGCTGGCTTTGGGCGTTGCTCCCTTCTGCCGTTTGCGGCAGGCGACACATGGCTGAGCGAGATAAGGCTTTTATTCTTTGCAAGGACAGACTGGGGCTGGGATGAAATTCGGCCATTTGCAGGCTCTGTTAGGCCACTAAAGGATGATCAGAACTCTGCTGTATCCTGTTATGACACTAAAGAAACATTTGTATGCGATTAATTTCCCCCCCCTCATAGTTAACTGTATTTTTCTTCCTGTAACCATTCCAAACGTGCTGCAGAGTTGAGCAATTGCATGGCTGCAGAACTCGCTTTATGTTTCTTTCTGTTTATTAAAGAGCAGTAAAAGAATGGAAGCTCTGGCTGCTTTTGCAGCACCTTGTTGAGGAACTGATGACTCTTCCTCTGCACTTGCTTGCAAATGAGTTTTATTTATAACAGTGCTGTAGTTTCTGTTGCTATGATTGGAAAATAGGAGAGGTAGAATTTACACATAATTACCCTTGAGAGGTTTTAATTGCCGATTTGCTCCTGACTTGGTACTAAAATAGACCCTAATTGCTTCTTATCTGCTTAGATGCACTTTCCCTGTCTTTGGCTGCTTGTAAGTCCCAGTAGTAACTGGGACTTTTTTAACTGTGTAGTGCAGAAAAAGGGTTTTAATTTTACCAGCAGGATAAGGGTAAGAACTCCATAGAAAGTCGTGCCTTAGTGCTACTGAGTAGCTAGATGTTGTTATCATGCATTTCTTTGATTAGTAGAGTTTGTAAGATCGAGTATTTCTGGAAAGTGGGCTGCAGCACCTCTGTTTCTATGGACTAAGAAGTGTAATTGTCACTGAGGCAAGTCTTTTTATGCTTTCCATCGTTGTGCCTTCACACAAATTAGTAGTTGACATAGTCTGTGCATAAATTCATTTTTTTTAATTTTGATTTTATTGAAGCTGTCAGAAGAGAGTGCCGTCTGTGATGTTTACTATTGGCTAGGAAGCAAATGCTACCAGTTTGTGCTGCATAGTTTATTAGGGTTTTTACTG